AGATAATAGCATTTTGACATTTTCAAATGCTCCAGAATAGAAGGGCTATATTTGAAATATCCCTTAGAGAAGAAGCTTTAAGAGAGTGTAAAAGGTCATGGACTGACGAAGAAGAGACAAGGGAGCCGACCCAGTTATGCACAACCATAGAAGACCAAAAATCTCTAATAAAAGGGCACGAAAGAAAAAGTTGGTCTTGAGATTGAGGAAGGGAGTTACAAAGGGCATAAATGGGAGAGACATCAATAATGATGTCTAATAGGAAGACAATTTAGGAGAATTTGCCATAAAAACATCATAATTTTGGGAAGGATATCAAATTTCCAAATCCATTGAAATTACCATTTAAGGGGTAAGATAGAAGGAGAGTGAGCTAACCAAGTTGCAAATTTGACCAAAAATTCTCCATCCTTAGAAATTCCCCAACAAAATTCATCTGGAACAGGGGAGGAAGGAAGAGGAATACCTCGAATGAGGTGAGAAAGATCATGTGGGAGATAAGATGGCAAGAGGGAAACATTCCATGAATTGTCATCAGTGATAAACATATCTACGGTAATATCAATATTGGAAATTGTATCCGGGTCCAAATCTAATAATGCTATGATATTAGTGTCAGCGCACTAAATGTCTACTAAAAGAGGATAGAGGAACCATTACCAACTTTCAACGGAGTCCTCTAATTAAGAGAGCTTGTGTTTGTAGTAATTTTTTCCAAATCCAATAGTCTTTAGACTAAGAACGGTAAGTCAAAAAATGGGGTTGTCTAAGATATTTTTCCGTAACCGATTGAACTGACAAGTTGGTAGGATCGTAAGAATTTTCCATCCTAACTTAGCTAAGAAAGCAGAATTAACAGCATCATATTTACGCAAGCCTAAACCACCTTGGCTTTTAGGTTGACAAATAGTATCCCAAGCAACCATAGACATACCTGCCTTAGACGGAGATTGCTTCCAAAAGAAATCACGATTAATTTTGTCTAGAGAAGAGGTAACAGAAGACGGTACATAAGATGTAGTCATGGCATTAGAGGGGATAGCCTGAAGATGACTTTGAATTAAAATCACCTTGCAAGCTGTAGAAACCAAATTTGTGGTCCAGGAATTCATTTTATGATCAGCTTTAGCAATAAGATGCTGAAAATTATCTTTAGTATAATGTGACGAGGTAAAGAAAACCCCTAAATATCGACCAAGAAATGATTTAGGGGATATATTAAAGAAACACGCTAAAGAAGATTTAGAATTATTAGATACATATTTAGAAAAAATAATAGAAGACATAATAAAATTAATAAGCTAACCAGATAACATGGACAATTCATCCAAAGTATTTCGAAGAGTAGACACAAGTGTAGAAGTGACCTTGCAAAATAGAAGACTATCATCCGCAAAGAGTAAGCAAGGTATATTAGGCGCTACTTGTGCAATTTTAACCCCGAGGCCTAAGGAATTTTTTTATTAAGAAGTAATAATTATTTTGTCAGTACTTCCATACATATAACAAAAAGAGTCGTGTAGTGGAAAACTGATCTCCTTGTCGTAACCCCCTAGAAGGTTTAATGAGAGAAGTGGTGACATTGTTGACAATAGGAAAATAAGACACAGTGGTAACACAAGCTTTAATCCAATTAATCCAAGTAGCATTAAAGCCAAAGGCGGACAGCGTAGCCCATAAAAAATCTCATTCAATGCAATCATAGGCCTTTTCCATATCTAGTTTCAGAGCTAGCCAACCTATTTTACTTTTGGACTTAATGAATATGTATAGAATTTAATGACCCAACAAAATATTATCCTGAATAGGATGATTTGGGGAAAAATCATTTTGGTGAGAGCCTATGATCTTCTTTAAATAAGGTTTCAATCTAACAACCAAAATTTTGGAGATTGTTGTATAAAGTACATATACTAATGGGTCTACACTTACGAGCCTTCGAGGGCAAGTGGACTTTAGGAATTAACGTGATAATATTATGATTTACTTCCTTAAGAAAAATACCATTGTACAAAAAACCTTTTATAGCTTTACAAATATCTTGACCAATTATGTTCCAATAAAATTAAAAAAAAATTGGGCCAAACCATCTTAACCAGGAGCTTTATAAGGGGACATGTCAAAAAAAGCAGCACGTATCTCATCATCTGTGAAAACCATTGTGAGTTGCAGATTGTAATCTGGAGAAATGACCGGGTCAATCCAAGGTGAAGAAATGGTTTGATAAGGCTTATAACCAGATTTAAATCTATTAGAGAATTCAGTAAAGAAAGAGGTCTGTAATATCGGATGGATTATCAACCCAATGATTATCATCATTTTGAAGACGATAAATTTGCTTTTTTTTACTAGAGCGAACCTTAACTGATTCATGAAAAAATCTAGAGTTGTGGTCACCTTTAGTTAATCATAATTTTCTTGAATATTTACCCTAAAAATGTTTACCAAACAAAAGAATCTTTTCACGCCTGCGAATCAACCGAATAACGTATTGACGTACATGGGAATTATCCGGAAAAAGGTAGCAATTGAGATTCTACATAATCAATTTTGATTGATTCAAACTTAGTTTAGCTTGCACATTACCATATTTATAATGATGCCAATGCTTTAAGTCTGTTTTAGCACGCTTCAATTTTTTTAATATGCAAAAGAAACGAGAGCCAGTATGACGGGTCTTCCAATTCTTAACGATAATATTCTTAGCTTCTACATCTGAAGTCCAGATATTCTAGAATCGAAATGAAGAAAGTCAGGGTGTCAAATTATTGTTAGTAACCAAAACAATAGGGAAATGATATGAAACAGAGAAGTTTTTATATAAGAGAGTAGCATCCGGATATAAAGAAGACCATTGAGAACTAACAAAGGAACGATCTAATCTTTCATAAATAATGTGGGAGCGAAAAGGATGTCTATAGCTTGCCTAAACTGAGCAAAATGCTGGAGTCTAAAACACCTAGCAGGGGACAGGGGTTTTCCATCTTACTTATCATTAAGTAAATATAAGCCATTAAGATCCCCGATAATATGCCATGGTAGGGAAGAACACATAATTTTCTCACGAATTGGTCATTCTTAGTGCATATTTAAACATTTTTAATAGAGTATGTAGATATCTTTATTTTATTTATTTTATTTACAAGAGTATGTTCATAATTTTTATATAGTTTGTTTTTCGAATTTTCATTTTGTATGATATGGGTCTGTAGATGGAATTTGTTAAATCCATCTAATTCAGTCAAAGTATCGATTAGTTACTTGTATTACATTAATTTGAATGGTAATGCTTATTAGTACAAAAACAGCCTTTTGGCCCATGCCATGCATAAGCTATATATAAGAATATTAAAAAAAAAAAAAAAAAAAAAAAAACCTAAACAATTTTTTGTCCCTTGGAATGAATAATCTCAAAGAATGTTTTAGGAAAGTTGTTGTAACCATCATGTGATTTAAAATCTATTAATTAATGAAAGTCGAGGAGCAGGGGAAGAAAATAATTACTTTGTATGTGAATTGAATAGGTGTTATAGTGGTTTTAATGTTAACATTTTAATTATTTCTCAATATGTTAGGATCGTTATGGCAGCGGTGGGGGAGTCAAGAATTAGGGATCTATGGCTGCAATATTTCAGGAATGTGGTGGTGGTGGAGGAAGAAACAGAAAATAAGAAGCAAAGAGTGATGGAGAAAGGGGTACAATGGCCATGCTAGCTAGGTAGTAAAACACTAGTGATGCTTAGCTCCTCACCTATATAATGGTAGTCTCTTAATGGTTATGACTTCATACTTGTTGATAGTGGTTCCTTACCCTCAATTGTTCTTCTAAAGAAACATGTACTTGTATAAGATAAGGGAGAAAAATCAAAAGATTGAGCTTGTATGGCGAGTGGGTCGGAGTGTGTGGTTTTTTTGCGAATGGAATGAGTTAGTAAGGCTAAGAAAATAGGACAGATTGGTGGGATGGGCTTTGTAGGGTTACCACAATAGGATAGAAGAATAAGAGGCTAATGTAAACAATGGACATAAGATGTTTAGTGAAGTAAATTTTGACTTTAAAATTGGATAGATTGGTGGAATCGCTTTGGGTGTGTGGTGGTGAAGGAAAGGTTACAAGATTGGGGGGGGGATAACGGTTTAATGAATGTTATGGTGGAAAGGAACCAATTTTTTAAGTAAAAAAAAAAAAGTTGTTGCACACACCTAATATTATAGCTGATGTTGTGGAGTACATTCGCTTCAGGCTATGTCGTAACATGATTCAATAGGTAATTTTCGACTCTAAATTTTCATTGCATGAAATTATTTATTTAGTTAATTACTTATTATTTTCTTAAACTAACATATACATGGTTGTTCTAGTTTTTCACAATTGTTCAATGTAACATGATTAGAAAATTAAGCTACAACATCTTGTAATTCACAGAATCATAATTGCCCTTAGTGACATGTAATAGACTCTCTTAGATTGGGATCTTATCTATTTCATTCTTTGTCAAAATTTATTTTTTATTTGAATTTCATTTCTTAGTCGTTTGATCTTTTTCAATCACTACTATTAATTAGTAAATATAGTTGGGGTTGTGTCAGACCTGTGTGCCTTATGCTTGGCAAGATCCAACAAAAGGCTATGCCCACTTTGTACATGTCGAATAACAAAAATATTCAAAAAGCCAACTAGACTAGCCTTAATACACATTACACTTTGTTGTATATATAAATTAAATTGGTGTACTAGCATTCTTGTTTTGTATGGTGCGTTGTTGTGCTTATGTGAAAAAAATGTGAAACACTATAGGATCTACATACATAGTAGAGAGTTATAACTAAATAGGTCATTCCAAATAATGGTCTTATCTTTCTCTTCCTCAGATTGGAGTATTTTAGGTTTTTCTTTCACTATAAAATAATTTAAATTTCTTCTAATTACTATAATTTGGTAAAAAAAAGGTAACGAATAATTTTTTAAAAAAATAACATCCTTGACAACGTACATTTAGGTGATCTTGAAGCAAAACACAAGAACTCTACAAATGGATCGGATAATAAGTCTCCAAGCACTAATTTGTTGCTTCACCCAATAGGTAATTCCTTGTTTTAAAAATTAATTCCTTTTAAATATCAGTTATTTTTAATATTTTCTTTTAATCCATCATATATTTAGTCGTAATAGTATATGACTATATGTAATTCAACATAAGACTCATGTTCAACAATATGTAGAATTATATAATATCAATACACTAATTACGTAGTATTAGTTAACAAATCAATATAATTTGATTCAATTAATTTAAAATCTTATTATTCGTGCATGATATTTACTCAACATCTTTTTTTATTATGGGATTCAAAATAATGTCTTTTCAACAAGTGAAATTATTATTTCTTAAAACCTTTTTTTAATTTTAGATATGTGAATGGGATTTATCCTTCCATCACTTTGGTACTTAACGTTTTGTAAATTGGCAGAGATACAACATAATAAAAGTATAACACTGAACATCAATAATGGAGCTGATCAAAAGAAGAAATGCCAAAATACTTCTGTAAACAAAGGCAAGGAAGTAAATTTTCTTAAACGTAAACGAGGGAAAGAAGAGAAAAAAGTGAGTTTAGAAGACATAAATTCCTATATTTCTCGAAGTTTCACTCTTATTGAAGCTGCAGAATGCCTTAAAGGTACGTCATCTCATTTTTTTCCTCTTAAATTGGTTAGCTTGCCAGTAATATCCTTCAACACTTACATGCATACTACTAATGATATATAATGTTCTTGACATTTATTGTTTGCACAAGAATTAAGGCTACATCACATTCTACTGGTCTAGGGATCAAATCACATAGGGCTCATTTATGGAAGTTTAAGCATTAAATGTTTCCTCTTTACATTTCTTACTGCCTAATGATGATTTTATATCAATATACTTTTCTAAGACTAATTCAATAGCTGTAAGAATTTTATTTACTAGTTTGCAACATTCTATATGAATTCTTACTTGGGAAAAATTATTTCAGTGAGCAGGTCTACCTTGAAGCGTAAGTGTAGGCAATTAGGAATTTCTCAATGGCAACCAAACAATAGAATAAAACGTTTTCGACGTACTTCACAAAGTAAAAAGGTTTCCGAAATTTCTTCTAAACTTGAAGTTGCAAGCCTAAAATCAATCTCTTCAGCACTAGATGACGATGTTGTTAATCAGTGCATGCAAGCTCCATGTACAAGTAAAACGGAGCCAAAATTTCCATCTCAATCAAAAAAAGTAATCCTTGATTCAATCTCTCTAAGGCCGGATGATGTAAGTCAAAACAAAAGTGTTTATGGTACTCAAAGTGATGAAGGATTATTATCAAGACTTAAAGCTGCAACCCTGAACTCAATTGTTTCAATGAAAGATTTAAGCCAATACATGACAAAGTATGATACTCACAAGAGTGAAAAGGTAGCTCAATTTGGTTCTTCATCGCGAGATGTCAAACAATACAAATGTTTAAATCAGAATTTAAGTGATCATAGATCATTAGTACTCTTTCCAATTACACACTCTCATGCATGTAATAGGACTACATCAGACACAAATAAAGGAAATACAATAACAAATGACAAATTGGTTGAATCCAATGAAGAGATTTTCGTGCATAGTTCGGCTATAGGCCAATATTCAAGCGTCTTCTCTCCACCACTAAAACAAGCTCGTGTGCAAGATGGAATGACATCACTCATAAAGGCCACATACAAAGATGATATGGTAAGATTTCATTTTTCCTTCAAAGAAAATATTACGGGGCTTAAGAAAGAAGTGGCACGAAGACTAAATTTAAAGTTGGGAACCTTTAAAATGAAGTATTTGGATGATGAAGATGAGTGGACTTTACTTGCATCTGATTTAGACTGGCAGGAATTTATATACATTTCAAGATCATCAAGAAAAAATGCAGTTCGACTATTGGTCCAAGATATTCAAAGAGAGGAGGAAGACAAAGGTGACCTTGAGATTACATTATTGAAGTTATGAAATATATATTCAATTATTGGTTTTCATGCATGGTTCCATTCATGAACTTTATTGTTCTTTATACAAATTTATGAATAATTTATTATTTCATGCAAATGAAAGATATTTTCCAAGTTTTCTTTAAACCAGATATACATAGTATTATTATGGAAAATTTGTTAGAAAGGAAGATATATGTTCACTTATTTGTGAGGAAGAACCTTCTTCTATGTTCAAAGTGGTGAGGAAGGAAAGTCATTTTTCTTGTGATTAAGGGGGAATCTAGTTATATACTTTATTTCTCTGGCTGTAGCCTAACACGTGTGCGCATGTGACTTTAAAAATTGTCCTCCGATCCCTTAATATTTTCCCACGTGTTCCCTCCTTTCTCTATTTTATCCCCAAATTCTTCCCTAATGTGTTTTCCTTGTAATCATGGGTTCCAAACCTGACCTAAAACATTCTCTCCTAAATTTTTTGACCAAATTAATTCTATCTTTTTTTAATTAAGTAATTGTCGCATCAGGTAAGATCAAATATTTTGCAGTTATGGTCTCCAATTTAATTGTAATTGAATTAGTTTTTGAATAATTAGGGGTTTAACATAATTCACTACAGTAAAACCGGGAAAAAATGCTTCGAAAACATAGGCAAATCTGCTGAAAAACGCCTTTGCGTTGGAGAAATGTCTGTCGTAAAACATTTTGTAGGAAATTTAACATTTTTCTATGGACATTCCGTTTGAAACCCATTTTCTAACGAAATTTTTAATGGGCTAGGTTCTGTCAAAGACTGATTGGGTCAATACTTTAAGTCCGTCGAAACATGTCAAGTTTCCGACGGATTAATTCCGTCGGAAATTTGAGATGCTTGTTTTTGTCAAAAAATTTCGACGGATGAAAAAAAACGTTTGAAAGTATACATTTTTTTGAGAAAATATAAGGTGCTTTCATCAGAAATAAAGAGATGCCTTTTTGGATTATTTTTCTCAAGAGAAACTTGCACCTATACATACACCTAATTCATGATCGAATTACTAAAATATATTTTTATATACATATAAATAATGCACGAGCAAAATACATAATCCGAAGTAATTACATATGCAAACTACACTAAACAAAAGCTATATATGTTACACAATCGGCGAGGTAACTTGGCCTACTTCGCCACTACCCGGGTAGTTCCTAAGGTCTCGATGCTGAGGACTGATAATGGAACATGTGTCGAAATTGGTGAAATGACTCATCATCTCATCCATCATCTGCTTATTTTTTCTCTCCATTTCAGCCATTCGGGATTCTATTTGGTTTTGTTTCTTGACTTTCATTTCACTTTGAATTTCACTTCGGATTTCATTGCGAAGAGCCTGCACCCTACGGCTCAAACTAATCCTGCATTCGAGAAACAACCGACGACGTGTACCGTGAAGAACTAGAAACTCGACCCATCTGGTTGCCATAGTATAGTTGTGAACTTTGGTCTAGTCCCCTAACACGACCCTTCTTACTGTGCCCACCCACCGTTTCCTAGTACAACTTATTATGACTCTTCCGAATCCCTTGACAACTTACTTCTTCAACATTTTTCTGGTAAGTCTCCTACAACATATAAATGATATGAAAAAATTATGTAAAAAAAAAACTACCAAACATAAGAAGTTAAAGGTTCATACTCTTCAACATTCAAGCAAACTGAGCAAAAATTACTCCTACTTTTCTTATTTTCCTCATTTCTTATTAAATGAAGTCATTCTTTCTCATAACATGTCAATATAAAATAGTTTAGGTGTATAAGGCGTGAAATCAAATGAATGGTGCACTTAACTATGTTTTAGGATGCATTTTCATCCAAATTCATTCAAATAGACAAATAAGGCTAAATGACTTTAACATTGCCCATTATTTTCTACATTTGTTATTGAATGAACTCATTATTTTTCCTAACATGTGAATATAGCATAGTTTTAGGTGGTTAAGGTTTGAAATCACATAAAAAGTGCAATTAAATGAAATAGGCCGGTGGGAGCAGCGATGGGGGAGTCTTAGGGGAAAGCAGCAGTGTCGGCGATGGAAATGCTCAAGGGTAGCAACGGGCCTGCGGAGGCTTCTCACTCTAATAGGGTTTTGGGGTTTCAAACTTGTATTCAAATCAGAAAAAGACCCCCTTTTTTTAATCGATACTTTCCGACAAAAAATAATTTCAGCGAAATAAATATTTTTTGACGGAAATGTTCTGACGGATTGAGCATCAGAATCCAACACATTTTTCAGAAATTTCTATTTTTCCAGCAGAACTTTAGGTCCGTCAAAGGCATTCCCTCATAAGTAGGCTTGTTTCTATAGTGGTTATTTCCATCACACTCTACCTTCTCGTTCTCTGCCATATCGGGGAATCATGGAACGTTAATTAGATCAAGAATAAAGAAAAAGAAAGGTAAAAGGTAGTCCATTTTTTTTATTGCTGGATCAAGAAATACATCGGAACAAGTTTGGAACATCCTTTGACTAGTACCGGCGACAAATCTCCTTATTTTCATCGTCAATAAGTTCACAACGTTTGTACCCCCAATCCCCACTTCAGTTCTTGTATTAGGTTTGCTAAGATCGATAGTTAAATTTTCGCTTTGTAGTCTTAAGTCAGTTGGGAGCTAGCCTCCTTTTTGGACCGTTATAAAAAAAACCTTTATGTATACCTACTTATTTATTTTATTCCTCGAACTATTAAAACAATTATTAACCAATTGCTAAAACTTTTATTAGTGACTCCTTGATCTATTTTATTTGATTAATCATATCAATCCATATGTCTACATTCACACATGTCACGTCTTACTAGGTAATTTGACCCCTAAAAATTGTAACAAATCTGAGTTTAACAACCCAAGAAGCACCCTTAGAGCAAGTTTAGCCCCAAGTCTTAAGACTTGAATGTGACATCATTTTTTGTGGTCCTCATTGAAAATTATGTCATCAAATTCTTGTTAAGAATTGCAAAAAATTTATCACTTTAGTCCTAAGACTCAAATATATAACATATTATATGTAGAAAAGTGTAAAAAAAAAAAAAAAAAAAGTAAGGTGGGTCCCAATCTCAAGTTTTAAGTTGAGTCTTGGAATTTCAAGACTCAACTTGAGACTTTCTTGAGATTTTAAGAAGAAAAATGGAAAAAGTCTTAAGCATAATTCTTAAGACTCAAAATGATGATGTCTTAAGACTTGGGGCAAAACTTGCTGATCCAATCGTTCTAAAACACACCATTTTTGCATTTGGGTACCCATAACTCAATGAAGGCCATAAGATCCATAGCCCATAATGACTACCTTTAAGACATTAATTAAGGTTTAATTACTACACATTATCATAGATATAGAATATTAATTCCTAATTGAAACAATCATATAATCCAAATCATATTATAATCAAGCTATCGAAGTTAAACTTTTTTTAACCTTACTCATATCACTCCACCTGGAAATAGGAAAGGTGATCGACAGTCCAAAATTTCAAACTTTCACATCACCTTATTTATAAAATTTGATAGTGACTTAAGAGGGTTCATTTGTTCTTCCTCACTTACAGGACCCTCTTCTTTTATTTATGCTCTAAAATGAACACTACTACACTGTTTTTCTTCAATCTTTTTGCCATAACAAGTGCTCCAAGAAACATTTCAAAACTTTAGGATGATGCTCACGCCAAAGCTCATGCTTGAGCCGGTGCCCAATGGGATCTCACCTCTTATCCCTCATCCGACCCCCAACTTACTTCTTGGATGCACTACAAAAATAAAAGCTTTTTAGAAATCAAATAAGTTTGGCAACAGATTTTTTAAACATTGCTAAATAGCAACGAATATAATTTCTTAATTGCCTAATTAAAAGAGACATTTTAGGTTTTAGTTTTTTTAATAATTAATGGTTACATGTTTTTTATTTGTTGCTTTTAAAAACAATTTGTCTTACTAGTTGTTACTAGATAACATCATATTTTTCTCTTGTTGCCATGTATACATGTAGAAAAAGTGCTATTTGTAACTGGCAAAATTGACTTTTTGTAACTGGCATTGTTGGTTGCGAATGCCACCGTTACAACTAGTAAAAATTATTCGTAACCGGCTCATGTTAGTTACAAATAATGTATTATTCGTAACTGGCATAACCCAACGCCAGTTACAAAAAGTATATTTTCCAAGTTAGAAATCACACTATTTGTAACTGACATTAAGTTACGTCGGTTACAATAAGGGTATTATTCGTAACTAGCATAACCCAACGCCAGTTACAAAAAGTCTATTTTCCAAGTAAAAAAGTTTACTATTTGTAACCTGCATTAAGTTACGTCGGTTACAATAAGGGTATTATTAATAACTGACAAATCATAACGCCGGTTACGAATATATTTTTTATTTTTTTTAAAAAAAATACTACTAGTAACTAGCACTAGATTACGCCAGTTACTAATAAATATATTTTTTAAAAAAAATGTTTGGTTCGAATACAAAAATGGTAGTATATCCTACCAAATGACCCATCATCAAATGGGTTATAACCTGTTACAATTCAACCAACAAAACACATACTACGAATACTTCCATACTTCCATACAATAAAAACACTCTAAATAGTCCCACACAACTCGAATTATTCATCCATAACCATACAATACAAAAAAATCAATTATACTTTAATTTCCAAAAATACAATTAAACTCGAATTAAAAAAAGCATTGATTTATAATTTAGAGATGTAATAACAATAACTGTAGGGAATATTTCAAGCGTTAACCCCTGGCTTGAACCCCACTGTGATCATACACTAAAGTACGGCGGCGTCTAAAAGGAAGAAAGATAGAGCAAAAGAGTAGCCAACAAGTTTTTTTAGGAACTTATAAACCGTTCACGAGGTGAAGGTTACACCCCTTAACGATCCAAGAGATCGTCAACTCCATAAGGTCTTGAACCAAATAGGGTTTGGGGATAAAGGTACAAATCCAACCTAAAAGAGATTGAACCTGCCCTAATAATAGGCCTCTACTTTATTCTGATCGTATTCATGTGCGCTTTCTGATTAACATGCAATCAATAGGATTAACCCTAAACCTGTTTATCTATGTTGGTTGAATATTAATGCACGAATAAATCTATTATTGGCGATCACTTGAATTATAATCAAATTAACCTTAAATAAGATTATTAATTATCTTATTAAGTGTGATTACAAGTACCAATTCCCATTAAACATGCATAAAAGGCGTGATCAAGCAATAACAATAAAATATCATCAAGCAACATAATAAAAATCAATATAATAATATATAATTATTAATATTAATAATAATCAAAACAATTATAAAAATAATCATGAATCATGTTAAAGCATAATAATAATAGCAAGATCC